GCGGGAAGAAGGCGAGAGGCACAGTCAAGCAGGTTGGATACCAGGAGCAGAGAGCGCCAAAGCTGCGTGGACAGAGCCGATCAACCTACAGAGCTCCGCAGCAGCCGAATCAACTAGGGAGAAACGTACAAAATACTGAGAATAACCCAAAAGAAAAACAAAAGGAGAAACAAGCAAGGGACTTGGAGGAAACAGTCCTCCCAAGTGGGAAATGGAAACTGTGAGAGGGGCAAGCAAACGGAAGCCAAGTCAGAGCAAGCTGTCCCCCCCCCCCCCCCCCCCCCCCCGGTCCCGCGGCCTCTCTCTCCGCGCCCCGGTCCAGGGTCCAGGGGGAGGGTTAGTGAAGCTGAGTGAAACAAGCAGTAGGTCTGAAGATGTGTGAGAACTCCAAGTCGTGGTGGGTGGACTGCGGGTCAGAGCTGCCACGCGTGGAAGGGATAGAACGCCTCGCTGGGTCCTTGAAGTGGCGAAGCAACGCCGGTGCTCTCGCCCAACCCGGATTCCATCGAATGCTGACTGTCGCCAGGGATTTCAACTTTCGGCATAGTACCTCTGGAGACGTTGACGTCGGTTGACGTGCATACTCCTGATTCACTCTGTTGCAGACCTTGCGACGCGGTGGGAAGCGTGATGGGGTCTACACCGCCCCCCTCCGCCACGGCATCATTCGGGCGGTCGAAGGTGCACGGCATGCTCGCTATGGGATCCGTGGGGGAACCATGGGGGGAGTCGTTTTCATCCGGGTTGTGTGGTTGCTTCGTGTGCGTGGATTGCCGTGGGGATGTTTGTGGCGATAATGATGATGGTTCCGCGGTGTCAGGCGCAGGGCTGTGAACTGTGGGCGTGGAACCACGACGTCCTGGGGAGCTATCCTCTTCGAGACCGGGACCGCGTTGAGCACAAGAATCTGGTGGGTTATGTTTGACAAACACGCTCACCCTGGCGGCCACAGGAAGCACCGAAGAAGACGTTGGAACGGTATGGCCGTGGATCTGTGAGAACAGTGCCGCGCGGAAGGCCCAGGTCGGCCGCGAACGTGAGCTGCTTGATGACGTCGCTCAAGCGTGTCCTCTTCGACCCGAGGCTTTTGAGGTGGAACAGCCTCGCCCAGCGTAGATCGCCTTCCGGTACGGTCTAAAGAGAAGCGAGCACGGTGCGCAAATGAATCATGAGTTGCCAGCCTGAGCAGCACAGAGCACAAGAGAGGGGGGAGGGGGAGGGGGAGGGGGAGGGGAGGAGCCGTACCTTGGCGAGCCTATCAACCTCGAGCCTCCTCTCGCCTATGACCTGAAACCACTCTCCGGGACAAAGGCTCCTGTCGGTCTCCGCCCTCGGGCTTGGGCACTGTGAATGACCAGTAATGGTCAGTGACGCTGAGAAGCATGGATGCGACAGCCTTCCAGGGCAGGTTGCGATTGTGTTTCCCTGGTCCGGAAGGCGCCTTTCGGGTGGGACTCACTTTGATGTGTAGTACTTGTACATCTTCCGGTTTGACCAAGTCGTCGTCTGGAATGGCGGCACACCGTCCAAGGCATGATATTAGACGAGGCCACTCACTGTCGTGACGGTCTCCCCGACCGTCCAAGACAAGGACCTGTGGCGGATTGGAAGCGTGAGGGAGCAGGGTCGGCGTACTGGGTGCGAGCATGGCCGACAGATTAAAGAGCACGAACGCATACCAATGTCCGTCCCTGGAACAGAGCAGCAGGCCGCAGTCAGAGTCCTTGCAGGCTCAGCGATCCGTGAGAGCCATGGAACGGTACTTACGGGGCAGAGAAGGCCACGAACAGAGACTCGCAGAGCGCGGTATGGCGGACGGGATCGGTGAGTGCGGAGAGGCTATGGAAGCACTTCTTCCAGAGCCCGTCAAGCGCGTCGTCCAGGCGGTCGTCTCTGTACATGAGGGTTTAGCGAGTCGGTCAGACCTTGCCGACGCCCTTGGAGCCAGGCGATCTCCCCCCGGCATATGTATAGGGAGCCGTGGTGTTCACTCACTCACCCTGGGGGCTGAGGCCATGGAAACGGGGAGGTGTAGTCCGATGACACGTCTGCGTGTACCACCGGGAGGGCTTGGATGCACGCGAGGGGCGACCCTACCTTTCTCTGCATCCACGCCTGCCGGCACCTATACACCATTCCGGTTTTCACGTTCAGTCACACTGACAATTAATGGCGTCACAGTGCGAAGGGAGCCCTTACGCGAGGTCGAGCTCTACGAGGCGGTCGTTCCACTCGCTCCTCGGGTTCCTACACCTCATGCGGTCTTGCTTTGTGATGAATCCCGGAATGGCAGAGCCGAGCGTGAGCTCGAAAGTAAAGAGGCTGTGGCGGGATCGCAAGACGTCAACACACACGTACGGAGGAAGGCTCGCTACCTGCAACCCCCTGACTGCGCCAAGGGGTTGGGAAGCGCCAAGAGAAAGCGGTACTGACACGGTGTCGGTAACACCCCTTGGGGCGTGTTCGGGCACACCCATGGCTCAAACGCTTCTCCCGGCTTAGCGAGTCTCCGGGTGTACCAGATTGGCCGTCAGGGACTCAAAGGGGTGCTGTGAATGGAAGGAGAGCGCGTATTGGCGAAGAGCAGTCGAGTATTCCGGCTTCAACGGTGGCGGCGCCAGGGTGGGGGTGGGGGTGGGGGGGGCTAGATGAGGGCCGCGATGGGGTAGGTGCACGCCTACGTCCGCCGGCGTTCTCAGATGGAGACCGTGGGACGACAGGATGCAGGGGATAGACGTTTGACGGTGCGGGGGGCTGGATGAGCGGATCGTTTGGGGTTGAGCCAGCGGGGGCCAAGCGCAGGCGGAAGACTGCAGTCTATCGTTCGGAGACACGTGCCGCGGTCACGTCGTGATGTGACCCGCGTGCATGCGTCGGCACGAGCGCGTTATGCAAGGGGCTCCAGCCTAGTTGGAGGAGAGAAGGCTACAGACTCCCGGATCATGTTGGAGATGGATGACCTGCACGCTTAGTTAGGCCAGAAAGTGCAGTGGTTAGCACGTCCTGGATATAACGGGAAGGCGCAGGTTCGACGCCTGCTCCCGCCCGTTTACAGTATGTGCGGCTTTCAATAGAGCATGCATTCATCGAATATTGGAAGGGAAGTTTCAGGCCATAGGACGTTTGAATCATAGGGGCAGACTGAGTACATAGAGCACCGGTAGATTCACCGTCCGCGGCACCACGAAGTTGAAGGTGGAACCTCCCCACCGCAGCATCTCTCTCCTCCCTCCTTCCACTTCTTTCTTCTCCCTTCTCTCTTCCATGAACCCTCACCGTACCGGCTCACCCGCCTCTACGCACCCTGACCATCCATTATCCCCCCACCCACCCATGGAGAGGACCAATTGTGATGGTGCCACGGCCGACACCATTCTGCGGAGGGCGTGTGGACAGAGAGGTGTGACACGGCGGACGGACGGATGAATGGGGCAGCGGCCTGTCCACCTCCATGATTTGATGGATATGAACTCGACCGGGGCCGTGTGGGTTAAATGCAAAGCCGAGAACGGCCCACAACGTGTCGATGTCCGCGTCGGGTTCCATCTTGCGCGCAGCAACCTTGAAGGACAGAAGTTGACCGGTAGGCTGGGCAGTGCCAAAAAGCCTGCTGGGGCGGGGGTGGCTGTCCAAAGTCGACATGGTCGAGTCGAAGGTGGCGCAGGGTGGTCCATGACGCGACGATCTCAACAATCGCGGACCACTCGATGGCGCGACTCCGGGGACGGCCGGGATCGTCTACAGAGAGGGGGCCACAGACCAGGCTTGCCAGTGAGGGCCACCCCGTGGCCATAGCACGGAGGTCGTGTGAGTCTAGGCTCAGAACTTCAGCATGCGCTGCGCTGGGACCCCAGTCCCAGGAGAGTCGGAAGTGCTGCATGTTGGTACATTCATACAGGGCGTCACGCTGGAAGCGCGAGAGGCACCACAGTTGTCCATCCTGAACAGTGACGGGGCAGCGCGGGTGGAAGTGTGAGTTGCAGGCGTTCCAGTGTACGGAAGTGGAAGTAGCGAATCGTCTGTGTGAGCTCGCGCATGCGAGACATCCAGGGTATTGTGACAGCCGTGCCAAGGGAGAGTTGTGTAACAGATCGAGAGGCAGACTGCCAGCCTGCGGTTGTTCTCCCATAATGCAATCACGCGGAGCGTGAGCGTCGCTGAGGGACTCCCGTCAGGAGATCAGACGTGGTCGTGGAGTGGAGAGTGTGCAGGCCTTCGATGACCGCCATAAAGATCGGTATGCTCCAGCTCCAGAATACGTTCCAGCTGAGGCAGGCCGACGTGGAGAGCCCACAATCAAGATCCGTAACGAGATTCAGACACGCTTGGTCCTTGGATCATGGTCCCAGAGTGATTCGCCATATACAACATGGCGGGAAGACCCCCATCTGCCGAACAAAACGAGACGGACCTCCTGCTCGAGCGTGATGAATACGTCGTAGGAAAGAAGGGCCGCAGAAGCCACGCCAGGGAATTCCGATGCCCCTGAGTGAGGTGAATACGGGTGCTGATAGCCAGTGTTCGGCGAGCGTAATTACCGGTAATCTGCAAAGCCTGGGCTCATGTTCCGTCGAAGCCAGGAATGGCGTCAAGTGCCGCAGTTGAGTTCGACATGACATGGCCGGGAAGAAACGGGGTTTGAACCGTGGCGTCCCCTGGTCCACTTGTATGTCTTATGTGCATGTCCAGGGAATCTATCTATCCAGCATTGAGCAGCAACGGAGCAGGGATTAACCGAGAGAAATCAGAGGAGCGCCTCCTTGCTGTGTAGATGTGGATTTCCGAACCTCAGGGTACACACAGCCATTGTACCACTCCAGATGGGGGGTGGAAAACAATGAGGCGACAATGCAACTAACGGCCTACTAAGCCAGCGAGACCGAGCAAGCTGAGTGTCCAACGTCCGCGGTAGAGCGGTGGCCCAGTCGAGCGCGTCGAGGGAGGCGGGTATTTTATGATTTGTTTTTCCCTTGTCGGGCGAGAGGCTAGGTGGGGCGATGGAGTGTAGTCAGGGCGCTATGCTGGAGGCAGCGCACGAAGGGACGGCACATGATCGCCCGCCGGTATATATTGATGTGGGCTCCCTGCCGAGCATAGTGTAATACGGCAACCCCTGTCGATCACGGACCAGCTCGCCGTGTGTGGGTACGTGTTGCGACATGACGATGCATGCGTCAACTTAGCGACAGTTGCGGAAAGCGTCGCGGGCCCACCAGCGCGAGTAGCACGGCTGCCGCTTGCTTCCCATAGCAATATTGGGCCGTGCCGCGTGTCTCTCGAGGAAGGGCTGGGACGCGTCCCTGATGACCTGTCATCATCCTGCAGCTGGCGCGCCGCTGTCTAAGCAAAATCGAGGGGTTCTTTGAGTGTGACCCCTCCACGCTCTGCGCTGACCGTGGCGTCCGTGTTGGGACGCCTGCTCTCGACCTTTCGCACGAAGCCGTCATTGGGACCGTACATATTACACCTCGGCCATCCGTGGCTTCATGGCTTATTCTGCTCCGTCTCCCTCGTGCATGCCGAGCACTGGCACGGCAGCCTGGCGAAGTAAACACTTGACATGTCGCCCTCCACTGGCACGCTGTTCTCAGGCTTACTCTCGTGAACAGAGGATGTTTCCTCTTGCTTGCGCTGTCTGTCCTCGCATGCCCTGCTTGGGTACTGCGGGATGCCCGGCTTCTCCGGAGTGTAGGTTCCTCCCCTAGCCTGTCCTGTGCGTCTGCCCAGTGTCTGTTGTAGAGATGACGGGGCTAATGCGGCGCCGCGGCGGTAGTCGAGGAGGCGATTGGACGCCCACGCGAACTGCCGGTTGAAGGCTTTCCGGCCGCTCTACTCCACGACTACACCCAGAGCGTGGAGCTGGACAGCCTCGAGGATACGCCAAAGTCGATGGCCGCTCGGGAAGCGTTGACTACCTTCTCGATCGGCTTCGTCTCTCTCGGGCCTCCCGGCAACAAGCAGCGCTTGGTCGCCAGCATGGTCCACCAGGTACGTGTCTCAGGCCTGTCGCCCGCCCTTCCGTGAAGTACTGTATGCTGGGTCTGATGCATGAGCAAGCTGCACTGCTTGCACAATCTTCGGGAAGGACTGCTTCACGGGTTAGAAATGCTGGATAAAGGCCACTTAGCCCACTGCATCAACTATATTCTGCATGGGATTCTCTGCGCGGCCGGATACGACGCTGGAGGGAGAAAATGCGGAGAGGAGGCTATTGCACGGACTGCCGGCAGCTGATCCCTACAGTACTCATTCTTGTCGGGATTGGACGAAGGTGTATAGGGCTGTAGAGGACTCGTTCTGGCAATAGGACTCCAGTAGCGCTCTACCGCACGCCTCCCTCGCCCAGGAGCGGCCGTACACTGGGAGTCTCTCTTGTGTGTGACTTGATACGGAAGGCGCCCAATTCCTCCAGCAAGTCGCTGCTAGGGTAGTCCGGTGTGGCGTCGTGTCGTCCCTCCGGC